AGCGTCAGAGAAATGGTGAGGCAAATAAAACAGTGACAGGGAGGAGATTTTAAAATATCTTCCTGGTATTCATATAACCTCCACCCTCATACTTAGTCAGTCGTGTGTATATAACACCCAGGGCTCTAGGATGTGGGTGCATTCAGACTTTCTGAAATGGGTTCAGTACTTCACTTGAAAACAGTTCACTCCTTGACAGCTACATTGGCAAAAAGAAATCAATGTCGCTCTCACAAAATGCAACACACCATCCCAAGTGGGGATCACAGTTCAGGAGCAGATAACTGGTTGGTCCATATTGCTTGGGCTTATCTATAGACCACTGGGTTGCAACCCTGATGCACATTAACATCACCTGCAGAACTTTTAGCAGCACCATGCCCACCCCAGACCCAATAAATTAGCAGCTCTGGTCTGGGCCCCAGGCATTGTTCTTCAGGTCATTCTAATGTGCAATCGAGGCTGAGAACCACTGCTAGAGACTAGAGTAGTTGAAGCCATTGTGCCGATTTTCAAAGTATTCATGCAGAGTAGATTTTAGTTAATCATATAAAGCAGTAATTAACTCTACAGTCCTCTCAAGATTATTGCAAAGTATGGCAAAATTGCCTGTTTCTCCAGTTTTTAGCTTTGGAGGTGACAACTCTGCGTGTGTGTGAGAGGGACAGAGAGAGAGAAAATTCTGCTCTTCTGCTTCCTATGTTTTTGAATGTTTTCTTTTTCCTGCCTGCTGCCACATTCTTAATTCAAATCCTCATCTTCTCCCTAGTCTTCACTTCTACCTGCACTGTTTCCATTATTTCTCTCAAACCCCAGACATGTCTCCTTCTTCTTGTAACCCCCTCCAGTGGCTCTCCGCTGTGCAAACACTCAAGTGCCTTCACTTGGGCATTCAAAGCCTCTCACAGTGGGCTGAGGGTCATTACTCGAGTTAGAGGGCCCCTCAATGAGCACTGCTGTCTCCAGCTTCTAAGGCCCTGCCTGGACGGCTTGCACCTCACCCAATTCTGCCAGAAGTCTCCATTCAAGACTCCTCTGAATAAATCTTCTCTGCTCTTCCCACCTCCCACTCCCATCTCTAAGGTCTTCACTGTCTGTGCCAAGCAATGTCTGATTAAGCCTTATATATGTTTGGCAGACAGTGGGTGCTCAAAAAAAAAAAAGTTTGTGAACAAATAAATTCCATTTATCACATCATCAAAATTGTAGTTTTGTTCTTCCTATTAGATTCTGAGTTTTCTCTTAAGTGGGTAACATGGTGTATGCAGTTAAAAAAAAAAAAGCAAAGGTTTTGGAGACAAATTTAGGTTGAAAACTCTGCTCTATCACTTACTACCTACAGGATCTTGGGCAAATTGAACCATTTCCTCAGCTGCACAATGTGGGTGACAACACCTTGAAGAGTTGTGAGGATTAGATATGTGTGTAATATCAAACACACAGACAGTGCCCATATATTTTCTCCCCTTGCCTCCAACTTACAACTTACCAGATATGCTGCAAAGTTCGTGAATGACACCCCACAGGAAAGTTTGTTTTTGTACTGTTTGCTTCAAAATGATCAAATGACTCAATTCTACAGAAATTAAATGTTTGTTAGAAGATTTCAGAACTCTACTCTCTCCCACCTCAGTCATCAGGGGCATATTATACCCATTATACCCACAACAGTCCTTTGAATTATTCCTGTTTTATAGCCAAGAAAGCTGGAGCAAAGACAAGACACTGGATTCTCCTTTAGGAGGTGAGCCAGGCTTTACAGAATCCTGTCTATTGACTCTAAGCTCTGGGTGCTATGCTTTATGCCATGCTACCCTCATAATCGATCTGTGAATGCATGTTTTTAAATGCAACCACTTATTTTTCTGAAACTAGAACATTCCAATAATGACAGTTGAATGGGCAAAAGTTAATGTAGTTATTAAAAAAAATGAAAATAAAGAAGTAGAGACCTTCATGCCCCACACTTTGGGACTGAATAGTGGCTGACTGCCACACCACTGAGCCCCTGGGAACCTTGTTTCCTTCATCTCTAACTTGAGAAGAATAACAGTACCTGCCTTATGGGAATACGAGGATTCAACAGTTAACACGTGAGCTTCTCACACATGTGGAGCAGGCTCTGGCACACGGCAGGGCTTGGCTTCAGCTATTAGCATCAACACAAGGGCTACTTTGCTCAGAATTCTATCAGGTTGTCCTTAAACGTGCGCTATTATAGGAAAGAAGAACATAAAGAGAATAGTCACTCTTGCATAATGGAGAACTCTAATAATAATTTTTAAAAAGGCACTTCAAAGACAAATAAAAAGTAACTTTATTGACTGCTAATCTTACCATGAAATCCTTATAAGAATAATTACAAAATAATGCAGTTTTTTTAAACACACTTTTGGTATCATCTTAACATGATGATCCTTTCACAGAAAGGATTATTTACAATTTATGCAGATATAAAGTTCATTGTTGCAAATACAAATGCAGACGTGTAGAGGCAATATATACCAAACTGGTATACTGACTAGCAATGGATATTAACAAATGCAGAATAAATATCAGGTTTATACTTTTCCTTTATTTTTTAAAACAATTTCCAAATACAAAAATGTAGATATTCAAAATGGATTTTCATATACATATATATAATTCTGCCGCAATGGATCAAAAAGCAAAAATGTCCTTAGCATGTCCCATTTTTGAAAACCCACAAGACTATTCATAAATCCAATTAGAAAGAGGGTGTGCAAAACCACTAACGATGCTGGCAAAACCCTAAAGGCCTGATTCTGTTTGAAGTAGAGAGAAAATAAAAGTATAAAGCATTATGTACTTAATTAAATTTTTTTTTTTGATTTTTAAACAAGAAACACTAAGAGCTAAGGAAATGCACCACATTTATGATCTGGGCTTTTTAGGGTCAAACTTCATCAGAATTTGTCTCTTAAGCATCTATAAGAAATGGTAGATTATTTAATGACTTACAAGTAACAGTCATTAGATGATCCTTTCATACTTTCATCCTTTTATATACAAAGTTTGAGATACTTTAATACATTCTGATATCTGAAACTTTGGTTCTTTCAAACATTTGATAAAAGCAAAATAATTTCCTGACTATAGCACTCTATAGAATTTTTTTCCTTTTAAAGTGTCAAGTTAAACCAAGTTGACCAGACTTGTGTGTACCCACTGCCCTTTCATATCCACACGGGGGAAAAATGTGAGGGGCAACGCAGGTAGAGCTTGTTCTCATTCTCCACATGTTTATAATACTGACCCCCATCCATGGGGAACACTGTAGGTTCTGCTGTACCCTAAGACTATTTCTTTGTTACCTGAAAACTTAATTTTGTATAAAAATATGACTGTTTCTTTAGAAAATAATATAGTTTTTAATAAAACTTGGTAGATAGAAAAAATGGTATATCAAAATATGGTAAACAAATGTTGTAAATATATGAAATCATTAAAAACATCTCATAGAAAGACATTGTGCTAAAGTACTTTCCTGAAGTGCAAGCAACACTGTTACCGTACATCTGTAGGTGAGTAAGTTCACGTTCCTGACTTGATTTTATTATATATCCTAACAGCAGTGGCAGGAACTGTCCTAAAAATGACCTTTTCTCAAACACTAACACCTTCTATATACGTGAAAGTTAATGAAAAAGACATCCTCGGGATTGGTGGTTTTCAATCCTGTTACATACTAGCTCCATCTGGAAACTTCAAAAGAAAAGGCAATTTTCACCTGGGTCTCACCACAAGACACTGATTTAATTCATCTGAGGTGGTACCCAGACATTGTTAGTTTTTTCAAAGCTCCCCAGATAATTCCATGATGCAACCAGGGTTGAGAACTATGGCAAAAGACCCATGAGAAAATAGTCATTCTTAACTGTGTATCTATCAGCTGATTGTCTATGGGCATCATTCATTCAGTGACACCAAACATCCTCTGCACCAAACAAGAAAGACCATGTAAGACAGATATGGGAGCTGTCTATCTTTCATAGATGAAAAGGTGGTAAGCTTCAGACACATATAAACACACAATCTTATGTATTTATATATGTATCACATATATGTATAGTTGGGGTATTTTGGTTAGGCAGAAACCAACATTACCATAATTTATTCTTGATTCAAAAAAAAACAAACCACCAAGTATAAACATATTCTAAGACATTTCTAGAGTTTTAACAGAAACTGGTTTTGGAAACTCCACAAAATTCATTGTGGCATGAACACAACCAATCTGTTACTTGGACAAGGGACTCGGCTGAGTCCTAGAGCTTTCTGGAAGAGCAGGAGAAGGACGTGGCACTTCACCAGCGTGAAGCAGTCACAGGCCTCACCGCACCATCTTTTGGTTATTGCTTGATTCACATCTTGTTGACCTTGGGCTGCACTTCTGTGATGACGCATCTTTGGCGTGCTGGAACCACTTGCTTTACCGCTTCATTCCTGTTCACATGGGACAGCCCCAGCGGGGTGGCAATGGCTGTGACTGGGCAACTGTCTCTCTCTTAAAAAGATGAGAGCCTCTTCTCTCTCTCCTCCCTCAAACCACCAGCATTCCATGAGGGAGTGGTAGAAAAAAAACACAAGCCAACAAAGAAACACAACAACATCTTTCACATGATAAAAAAAAAAAGTGATGTTACACATAATTGAACTGGAAAACAAAACAATGAACACACACACCGCAGTCTGATATCCTGAAGGTTTGGTAACCAGTAAAGCACATTTCCTTTCAAAGGATCAGTGAACTTCCGGGCACTTGTCTTGCTATACATTCTCTGTAGTCCTTTTCCTCCTGTGTAATACTTAAAGTGCAACTGTCCCACGGCTTTTATTTCCATCACAACTATTATAAAGAAAAAGATATGTCTGGGGTGAAGAAAATATGGCACAAGTAATAGGTAAAGAAAGAACCCATGGCTTTCACAGCCTCTAGCAAGCAGCAGGCTGTCCAGACAGCTGCACGCAGAGGTCCTTTAAACAACAAACTCTGGAACTTCATCGTGGGTGAGATCCAGAGAGAAGTATTTGCTGGTTCTTTTGACTGGAAAAGCATCTTGGATGTTGACACACTGCTGAGCCAAGCAGCTGCTGCAGTAGAGGCCTTCCTCATCCAGTTCATGGCCACACCCAAAGGTGTAACTCTGAGCAGTGTCCTGACACAGTCCTGCAATGCGCAAGAAGTCCTTCTGGTACAGTCTGATGTCATCGAGGCTCAAGCTATGTCGATCGGTGGAGGTCTTTGGTTTTCGACATATAGTCTACAAGACAAGGGAAGGTTGAAACGACTTTAAGAGTATAGACCAACGTGAAAGCTCAGCACTCTGTACCTTGCACAGAGAAAAGCTGCTAAATCAGAAAACGTTAAGGAATCCTTAGCTGTTAGAGGGTGGCTTCCAATCTGTGCTTTCTGGGCCCTGAAGCCCTGTGAGGAAAAAATGCTACTACCACCAGTTATAGTAGCTAACATTTCCTGAGCCATTATTATGTGCTAGGCCCTAGGAACTCAATGATCTTACCCACCCACTCCCTAGAATAACCCAAGGCTCAGAGAAGTCAATGCAACATGAATCCAACTGTCTCCAGCACCTCAGAAACCAGGCAGTTCTCCTAAAAGCAGATGGCAGAGGTAAAGGTACTGTGTCTTTGCTTTTCCATGAGGATATGGCAACTCAGCATAGCAACACTCTTGTGCTGAGGTCTGTTATTCTTTTAATACGAGATGGGAAAACAAACCAATTATTACTCAAGAAACACAATTTAAAACACTATTTTTTAAAAAATCTAGAATTCTTGGGTAGAAAAATAACATGCCAAGAAAAATAACGTGAAGTGTTCTTGGTGTAGAAAAGGTTGGGAGGCAGCCCCAGGATGAAGAGGTTGCTCCTAAACACTGCAAGAGGCTGTACTCTGTCAAATGGTGCACACAGCAGGTTACAGACTTTCCAAACTCATTATCCCAAGAGGTGGTACTGGCTGAAAATATAAGCAGGTTAAAAAATGGTTCCAATAATTACATGAATAGAAGATCCTTAATGGGTTACTTATGGAAACGAGCCACTACAGCCCTAACCTATTTTTGCTGCTGAAACCACAAAGGCTATCCTTGTTAAGGATAGGATATCACTTTTGCTACCAGCAGAAGAGAACAGAGTCTGAGCCCAACAACATTTTCCTTGGAATTGCCATATCTGAGAGTCCCCCAAAGGTGATGATCCTCGTACGGATGGTGTCTTCTGAGGATCCACCAAAACTTTCACACAGAATTCATCAGGTCACTGCCACAAAGCATCGAGGCAGGCACCCATCTCCCCATCTTATGGGTGTAGAATCGGATCCTTAGCTGTGCCCCACCCATGTTCACGTACAGTAAGAGCAAACATTGGGTGGCAGGGGTGGGGTCAAACTGAGGCAGTTTGGCCCTGGAGCTTGTACTCCTAATCATCATGAAGGAAACAAGAGATCCACAGAGCACCCAAGGCAGACAGCGTACAAGGAGAGAGAAAGAGAGTGCTCAGAAGTCAGAGGTGAGTATCAGCTGTAGATTCCATCCAAATCCTGCAACAGTGAGTTTCGGAGTATTTTAATTTGTATCTTCTGATAGCTTAATCGTCTAACCAGTGATTACAGGTTATCAAATACTCTAGCTTAGCACAGTTTGAAAATTCAAACTGAATGGAATAATTAACTGTGTGGAAACGCTTCTGTCACAACATACCTGACAAGAAAATTACTCTCCCAGTTGTTGATACACACACACACACAGAGTTAACCTGACACCTAAAGACCAGAGGCTTCTCACCCATATGAAGTATGAAACAAAGTACACAGTTCATCCAAGTAAAAATCCCACTCAAAGAGAATTGGAAGGAGCAAATAAATGGAAATAAATTCAGACTAAAACTAGAAAGTATGTATCTACTAGGAATCATTTCCTGAAGGCTTTAAATTTCTGCTCGTTTACATAATTATGAATGTAAGCCCCTATCTAAAACTGTCTATAACTTCAGCTCCTGGTTTAAGTTTTCCATCTCCTCCCTACCTGTGGAAGAGAATCGGTGCTCTGGCCACGCAGTTTGACTACCGTCTCTGAGGAGCTGGAGGTGGAAGAACCGATTTCTTTCACAATCAATCCTAAAGTAAAACACAGAAGAAAAACCAGTGAAGATCTCAAATTGTGTATCCTTCTTGCCACGCATCTGACATGAACTACTGTGTGCTTATGCTCAGTCACTTCCATTGTGTCTGACTCTCTGTGACCCTACGGACCGTCACCTGCCAGGCTCCTCTGTCCATGGGGGTACTCCAGGCAAGAATACCGGAGTGGGTTGCCATGCCCTTCTCCAGGGGATCTTCCCGACCCAGGGATTGAACCGGGTCTTCTGCAATGTAGGCAGATTCCTTACCGCTGAGCAACCCTACTACCAAGAACTAAAATGCAAATATTAGCCAGTGCTGATGAATCTCCCTGTGGCCCTTTGGTGGCAGACAACAGGCATGGATCACAACCACTCCTTGTGTTGCAGGGAGTGGTGAGATCCATGAGGGGTTAAAGCATAGCATGGAAGTTAAAAACTATTCTCTAAGACAAACTTCTGATTAAGCTGTTTAGGATGCAGTTAGAAACAAAAACAAAGGCTGAAGGTGAAAGTGGTTTCTTTACTATATCACTAAAGCTCCCCTACTCTCCATACAATACTGACTTTGAATATAACTTGGAACAGTGATGCAGCCTCTAGGCTTGGTTCTGCTTAAATGAGCAGTGGGTAAATGGATGGGAAATGAGTCCAGGCAAATAAGGACCTGTGTATCCTGGCCAGTGTCCTCTTACAAATGGCATTGAGCACAGCACCCATCCATCTGAAGACCAAACGCCCACAAAGCAAGGCCCAGGGCCTGCACATGGAACACACTCTGTTCCGGAGGTTCCTCTGGGAAGACAGGGCCACGGCACAGGCCTCCTGCATCAGGTTTTACTGGCCTGACACCAAAAATGGGAGGCTACAGTGAGAAGTCAGCTCTGGACCTCTGAGATCACCAGAGCCCCTTGTCACTGAGGGCTCAGGGGGCCTGACGGTATTTTAGAAACAGAAATCCAGGGCTAAAACTTCCCTAAGGGACTGTGGCATAGGAATAAAGCATCCAGAAAAAATGTTTAAGGAGGTAAAACTGTCAACAAGAACTGGCGATGTAAGTGAAGACCACTCATGTTTCTTGCAAACAGATGGAGCAAGTGACAGTCAAGTCCCAGAGCCTTAAGGCTAAATGGCCTAAGTATATTTCTACCCGATAAAAAAAAAGAACCTTGAGTAAGTAAGATGATTTTTATTCAGCCACTGCTAGTAATCCATAGAATGACTTTTTGTATTCTCTCTCTTTAAAAGGGACTCATGATAATTCAGTGTCTGGCATGTATTAAGTATTTGATGATTAGTTCAATTAAAAAATGATATACATACATTCCTTGGCTTATATGTAGACAGTTTATTCTCAGATGACACTCATGTTTTGGGGGTTGGTACCAACTGCCTGAGCAGAAGATCTTTCTCTAGAAAGGTCATAATCTTTTAAAAAGCATTAAATTAAAAAAAATTATTTATTTACTTATTTATGGCTGTGCTGGGTCTTTGATATTTTGTGCAGGGTTTCTCTAATTGTGTTGAGAGGGGGCTATTGTCAAGTTGTGGTGTGTGGGTTTCTCATTGCAGTAGTTTCTCGTTGCCCAGAACAGGCTCTAGGGTGCACAGGCTTAGCTGCCCTGCGGCATGTGGGTTCTTAGTTCCCAGACCAGGGATATGACTCATGTCAATCAGCAGGTTTTTAACCCCTGGACCACCAGGAAGTCCCAGCATTAAACTTTTGAGTGAATCTTCACAGGAAGAAGATGTGGACCAGGGTACTGGTTGGCACTTGGTATGGTTCCTTTTGGATTTCCTTGTAAATGTGCCTGTGTGTGTGTGTGTTAGTTGCTCAGTCGTGTCTGACTCTTTGCAACCCCATGCACTATAGCCTGCTAGGTTCCTCTGTCCATGGAATTCTCCAGGCAAGAATACTGGAATGGGTAGCCACTTCCTTCTCCAGGGGATCTTCCCAACCCAGGGACTGAACACAGGTCTCCTGCATAAACAGGCGGATTCTTTACTGTCTGAGCCACGAGGGGAGCCCCAATGTGCCCTGTAAATCATCTGCTCTAAAACCCAGAACCAGCACTAGAAAACTCAGCATCAAGCCTGATGATCAGAACACTGAACCAGCTCCTGCCAACTTCCACAAGAATGAAGGATAGAGCAGTACACTACATCACCACTCAATCTTAGCTCTGTGTTTTTAAAACAATGTTTAAAGGCTCAGATTATAGAGATTTTGGCAAACAAGGATGATGCAAGGAAGAAAATAAAAACATCCATAACCCCATCATCCAGCGAAAAGGCTACTAATATTTTTATCATATATGTATAAACATTTTAATAATCTGAGATCATGCTATTTAAATAATTTATACTGTTTTTCTTACCTGTTTTTCTTATATTATTAAGTATCCTCTGAAAGAAAATCTCATTATTGAACGGCTATATAATATTCCACTTTCATGAACAGAACATAACTTTACTCATTGTTAAACTTTAGTTTCTTTTTTCTTTTTGCTATTATATTTGACATTTCAATACACATTTTTTATATATAAATCTTTTCAAAAGCCATCTTATTTGTTTAAATTTTAAAATTAAAATTACAAAATTAATTCTATAAAAATCAAACAGAAATAAAAAAACAGAAAGTAAAAGTCTGCTTGCTTCATCTCCCCTTCCCAGAGGCCCACTTTAGACAATTTTCTTTACACAAACACACACACACAGTGAGTGATGACATGCTCTCTATACAGCTATAATGTGGTATATATATTAAAACATATTTATAAGGAAAAAATTCAACATAATAAAGTAAATGGACAAAAAGGGGCAAAGTCTGGTACAAGAACTCTGAGCACGGCTATAGCAATCAGCCTCTTGGATCTTTGTTGCTCAGGGTGATTCTCAGCGATCATGGGCAGCTAGCTCTGTTTCTGGCTAAGCTTCTGACGGCCATGGTTCTGCTAGGTTAGCAAGTGGAATTCTGCCATCAAAGGTTCCTCTTACTCTTTAAAGAACTGCCAGAATGACAAAGACTGTGTCTGTTAACCTTTTCATCACTAATTCCCTGCCCCTGATGCATGGCAGAGGATCACAATCAGAGGTTGTGGGTCATGACAGGGCAACGCCAGGTCACTGCAGTCGAAGGAGGATCTCTCACTCAAGCAGTGCTTTCAGCGCCAAGACATGAGCACTGAAGTCATTTCGACAGTGCTGGCTCCAAAGGCATTTTCTTTGAAGAACAGAGACTAATTCATGACATGTGACAAAAGCAATTACAAGTCGGAGGTTTTTTAAAAAAAAACTACTTTTTTTTTAAGATGCCAACTTTCATTTGAGAGAAATATATATATTATTATATAACTCTATAAAAGGGTTATAGTGAATACATTTAAAGATGTCATCAAATATAGAATTTAAGAGTTTTTTTACACCAACCTTTTTTAACACTTTTTCTCCAGATTCCTACACCCTATATAATATAGTGTGTGTGTGTGCACGCTCAGTTGTGTCCAACTCTTTTGTGACCCCCTTGGACTGAAGCCCGCCAGGCTCCTCTGTCCATGAGATTTTCCAGGTAAGAATAATGGAGTGGGTTGCTATTTCCTCTTCCAGGGGATCTTCCTGACCCATGGATCGGAGCCACATCTCTTATGTCTCCTGCACTGGCAGGCAGATTCTTTACCAACTGTGCCACCCGGGAAGTCCATATACTAGAGTATGGGGGAAAACAAAACAAAGAAAACCTGAAGGCCTGACTGCTGTTTTCAGCCACACAGCATCTGTCCTCTCTAATCCATACGTTTTCTTGTCTATGGAAAGGAGGAGGCCAGTTTGAAGGGCCTCCAAGCCTCTTAACAGATACATCACATAACTATCTGATTATCATTTAAAAAAGCAAAGAAAGAAAGATAAAACCCAATTACACAGCTTTGTCCAAAGCACGAGGAAGAGGATGCTAATTCCAATGCTGAGTGCTTCTCCAGCTTCCCTCTCCTTTCCCCCACAGAAGGCACTCGCTCCCACCGTCTAGGACACTGACGTGGAGCCCCCAACCCACCCTTCTATTTTCCTAGGCACCTGCTTCCCAGTCCAGGACCACTCCCTGGGGAAGGAGAGGTCCTTTCTGCGGGAGCTCACCGGAGTGTCCGTTCAGCTTCCGTGACAGGAGCATGTCCTCTGTGATGTAGATGCACATGTCTGGGCTGACTTCCAAGGACTCTTCATTCATTGGCTCCAGGTCTCTGGGGTCATCAACCAACATCTCTATTTCTGAAAAAGGGAAAGACATTTAGTGACAGAAAGGAAATGGTCACCATTCATAGCCACACCTTGAGGGAGGTTATGCAATTATTTACATGTAAAAATGAATTTGCTAACGAGACTCCACAATAGGTAATTCCAGTGACAATTCTGGACAAGATCCTGCTTCTCTTTTTCTCAGGACTGTTGTGTTATCTACATGTCTGCTAACGCCATGACCTATCAATTATTTCTCTTTAAGAAAAACTGTACTAGCATGCTGTGATGACAAAGGGCCAGATGAGGCTGATGGGTCGTTTGGCTTATGCTAAAGCAGACTGTTGACAAAGACAGAATGAATAGTGCATGAAGCTCTCTGTCTCCCACATCTGCCATCTCTTGGAGCATTTAACAACGAGATTTGAGATGCACATGAATTCTATAGTAAGCACACATATGTTTCCCAGTTTTCCTCAATGAAGTAAGTATATATTTCCCCCAAACCTGAATGCTACAGCAATTATTTGAAACAGAAAAACAATAAAAAAAAGATGCACCCGAATGCTGATACAGGCTACAGATCTCATCTCATCTCCTTCACGCAGGGTGAAGCACCCAATGCTGTGTTGCCCTCTTCTCTATTACGACATCAATCCTATGGAACCAATACTGGGGAAAGCACTGGGAGAGAAAAGCAGAGGGGCCCTGATGATGGGTCAGCACCGTTAGCTTGGAGAGCCTGGGGTGCAGGTTACCGTCGTCCTGCGAATCCTCCTCCAGCCGGTCCTTGCCGCCACTCTCCACCCCAGAGGTGTGGGAGCTGCCGTGGCTGGTCATGGAGCTGCAGGTTTTCAGCTTGCGGTGGACGGCACTGCCGGGGTAGGCATCCTCGGGGCCCGCATCCCTGGCCTTGGTGTCGGCCTCGATGCCCGAGGTGTGGGAGCTGCTGTGGCTGGCGGTCGAGTGACGGGACAGGCGCTTGTGCTTCATGCTGCCGGCGCTGCTCCCACTGGCCCGCGACCGCTTCTCCAGCTGGTCCATGTCGAGGTCCAGGTTGTCGCTGATGTAAGACTCCCGGTACTGCTTCTTCTCTGTGTGGTGAGGAACACAGCTCGTCATTACAGTCAACCAAGGCAGGAGGAACGGCTGGTTAGCCCAGGGCAGTCATCAGGCCATGAACAAGTACAATTTCACATTCAGAAGTGAGTGACTGCAAAGTGCTGATAATTCTGATAGCAACTCTGTGTAAGAAGACTGCAAAATAAATAAAACCCAGTACATTAGATCTGACGCAGGTATCTGACTACTCGAAGAGTTTTAAAGTTTCAAACACTGCAGAAGAATGCTACTCAATGTGGATGCTAAGACCACTTCTTGTCTGAAAACTGTTATTTGTCCATAGTGGAATAAGTTTAGGAATTGAGAATAAACATTTAGAAACTTTCAGATCAGAGTGATCTGATATTGCCAGGATATCCCCTAATGAGACTTTGAACTTTGCAAAAGTATCAGTGCACGGTGGATTAGAAGTTTTTAAAAATCTGGTCCTTCCCCACAGATAATTTCAGAAACTCTGCTATAGAAATGGTTTCATAAGTACACGTATGCTAACTGCCTTTCATTTAATTTGTTCATCTGTTCAGTTTGGTCCATTGTTAGCTTAGCTCTGTTGAAGACAATTTAAAATAAAACTATTTTTCTGAGAATTTCTTTAAAAAGATTCCAGAACTGAGATTTTCACGGATTAAGATTGCTTTTCTCCATTTAGGCTGAACTAATGAGACTTCAGGATCTATCAAGAAAACATAGTAACCACTCTGGTTTGATGATTTATACCCACATAGCCTCTGACTGATAAAACTGTTATTTAACAAGTTGGTGCAGATCATTATGCAGACAAAGACACAATACTGGAAAGTTCCTTTTATCAAATGCTAAACTAACCATTACATAAAGGCACAAATTTACAACTGGGCTACAGGTATACAACTGATACAAACATACTATTTTTGTGCTTGAGGTCAGAAACTTAAAACAAAGAAAAAGCCTTGCATTTTTAATACTGATGAGAAATACACATCAGAACAATGTTAAAAAGGAAGAGTGCACCTGGCGAATGTTGAATTGATACTATTTCAGAAACTGCTAACTAAACTAGACTATTTGGGTCCTCAAGGGTCTGCTAATGGATTTGTCTTGTTTCTTGGTTAAAAATACTTATACTCTTGATGTCTGAATCCAGCCTGAAGTATAATCACCACAGGCTTCCCCACAGAAGAAAGGAACATCAGCAGGAAGAGAAGATATGCACTCCAGGATGCAAAACGGCAACAATGCTTGGAGATGATGGTGTGTACATTTCTGGGCTCCAGCCTATTCATGTTACTTCTAAGGACTCAAGCTGAAGCAAAGAGGTGTGTGTAGCCATACTCACAGTGAGGCAGAATGGAACCAGACATCAGGGCCTAATCACACATCACTGCTACAAAAGTACATCCATCTACAGCCCATCTTTTTAGGGCTAGGCTGGGTTCTAATGAGTCCTATTTTCTAAGGCAGCAAGAGATGAGATGAAGAGCTAAAAGGGGTTTGCAAAATTCCCATATGCTTTCTATTTGTTGTAGTTTCAACACAATAGGCACATGGCCCTTGGAAGGGTAAAAAGTTAAAGAAAAAAAAGTCTTAAGCGCTAAGAAAACTGGTAACAGTGACTCTAATAATTAAAAAAACTTTTCTATATCTTTAAAAATAGCCCTTTTACTCCCAAATTTCTGACAGGTTTGGAGTCAACTAGTTATTCTATACTCACACACATAGTCACTAGAAAACAAGTACTTTGCCAACTTGTCTTCTATCTAATAAGAGCCTGGCCTGAATCACTTCCTGTCAACATGTCAGCACAGCCTTGGTGTTCCACGTGCTGGCTTCTATGCCCGTCACCATGCTTTTCATCTCTTAGACCTTCTGCAAACATTTAAGAAGTTTCACACCAATCAGTTACAAAATGAGGGAAATGCTGAAATAATTTTGAAATTTATTCTAAGAAATACAAAATGCAACCGCTCACCCCCTAGTAATCACTGGTGTCAACAATGCAAATCATCTGTTGTAAAAGCCCACAGAACCAAAATTTTTGTGTTATTTTGGACCATAATGCAAGTCAATGCACCCTCTTGACATAAAACCTAAGAATAAGCCCTAGCTATTGAGTAAAACTGAGTCGAAAAAAGATTTTAATGACAGAAAGCATTTTTTATCCATCTCTTTTAAAACAATAGGATTCTTGTGATCATTTTTACTATAAAATGCAAAAATAGTGTTTCAGACAAGGTGACACTAGATGAAATCTAATTAAGAAAAATAAAGATTCTTTTCATGCTGTGATTTTGGCTAATGTTAATAGCTTTTTGTTTGTTTAAAATGTTGCAGTCTTTAAGTGGGTGAAATAACTGAATTCAGGCCAAGGTTAATCCAAAGGAACTTAGTTTCAGGTTTTCTTCAGATCTGGAGGGATTTCTAAGCAGAAGAAAGTAAAGATGTGGAAAAAAAAAAAAGTCATATCTGCAAATATATCTACACGTACCCACATCAAAGATCCAATCTGCATCACTGTCATTCTCACTGCCCCATTCCCATAAGCCCTCACATGCACTTGGTACTACACTTGATAACAGACAAAGCCCTCCCCTCTTAAGAACTCAACATTCTTTGCAATTTTTCTTTAGAACCTATAGGGGAGGTTTATTAATTCTTTCAGGGTCCAAGGGGCTCACATTACAGTCACCTAAACAAGAATTTACTAAAATGTTGTGGGCAGAGAGCTGCTGGAATAAATGAATTTCCCAAAGTTGTGAGCTGGCCATTCAGGAGTGAAGCCAACTTGGCAAATGATGGGCTCTACACCTAAGTCACCTATTCCCACAAGCTTTCCTGGTGCTTCTGCCCATTCAAATTCCTAATCTTCATGTCAGCGTCAGACAGATACACGCATTTGTTATGCTGATGAGTCATCATGGGGAAGAACTAGCAGTCTGGCAGCAGGGGAAGCCAATATACTAGACAGTGAGACTAACTCTCTCCAAAGACAAATGCAATTTGGTGGCAGACAGTGGAAAATGATTCATGTTCTAATTGCTACTTAAATTACAATGGCATCTCCAAACTGGGCCTCATTTAAATTGAGAGGCAGCTTTTGAGAAACATCCATCAGATTGTGTTTAAACCTCTATAAGGATTTTTGTTTGTTAAGAGAGGACAGGTACTTGTCTTGTTTCTATAGGAAAAGTGAGGTCTGAGAAGTCAAAATGTGCTTCTGACATGGACCTAAGTTAATATGAATCTGAATCCTAATTCAGGCAAATACCCCAAATCCAATCCAATCAAATTACCAATAATTACCATAACATGAGTTTGCAAAAAAAATTGAAGACACTGAAAGACCAAATATGCAAAGTAGCATTTTTGGGTGTGAAACTGGAGTGTGCTGTACGGCGTAACCACAGGGGATAAGCGCTAACCACCAGGTTAACACTGTGAAGTTGAAGTCTACTGTTAGAAGCCTCCACCTTGTCCTCCTCTCCTCACCAGACTTGCCCTTCTCATGGCTCAGAACTCTGAAGCCCCAAATGCATTGCTCTATTCTGCATCTCAGCAAACTGCCCCCACTCCCCGACAGGACAGGCTGACAAGATCCTCAATTGTAAACTTTTCTCTCCTTTGTTGGTCTTTGTTGGTCTTGCTGAGCCAGACAAGGGGCTTCCTAGTTGTCAACAAGAGGCTGGAGATATCCTGTGGCCCATCTTTACTGTCACTCTAACATAAAGAATAATCACACTGGAAGGAATTTCAGAGAGCCTGTTGATAACCGCTCCTAGGTGGACCAGTGTATAAACAAAGCTCTGAGATGCAGATAAAGGCTGGTAAGCAGATAAACCTTAGTCTGTGCTTCCACGCAGTGGCTTTCCAGGGACTTTCAAGTTGAGTACAGGGAAACTTTAAAGAGACTGTTAGCTAGGACACTTAAATAGCAGGGATAATCTCAGATATGCTGATCAGGCTGTGGGTGGGCCTTCCAGGACTGCTGAGATGGAAAAAGCAATGCTGCTGGGAACCTGGAGAGGCTGGGGGTCCCCAGGTCCCACTCTTCAGGAGACTAAAGCCCCAGTTCTTAGCAGCTGTAGAGTAAGGGGCTGTGGGTGGCAAAAGTACCACCTGCTTCCCGCCCAAGATCTTGTGATACCTTCATTTTCCTCCAGCTTCCGGATGTGGCGCAGAACGGGCTGCAGGTTCATGTAGAGGCGATGGCTGTTGCTCAGGAGCTGCAGAAGATGTCTGGAACGCATGGGGCACCCTGTGTAGTAGATGAGCTTCCTGGCAGAAGGCAAGCCATCTGGGAGAATCTCAAACTTCTTACCCTGTGGAGGGAAAGAACAAGTCAGGAGGACAAGTCTCTGATGTGTCAAGGTCCACTTTCTTTCCTGGTAAGTAAGGAAAACTGGAGACTCAGAAATAGATGCTTAAGGCTCCATCCAAAGTTCCCTGAGGAGTACATTACTGTCTTCCCTTTCAAAAACGTCATAGGATAGAGGATTACCAAAAATTCAGGAAAGTGCCAAGCCAAGGTCTTCTGGTTCCATCTGTGGCTTCTCTGGCTGGCCAGGCTATTTACGTAATGGAGAAGAGAAGGGCCCATCGTGAAAGCATTCTCAAGTGTAATCCCGACATCCTAACTCAGTAAACAAGACCACAAGCTCTAAAAGAGTAATGCATTCAAATATTTGTTGAACGCTTACAAGGTGTCAAACACTTTTCTAGTTCCTGAGAAAACAGCAGTGCATATGACCAAGTCCCTACCCTCCTGTTGCTACATTCTGGTGGGAGAGATGGTAAATAAACACATAAAATAACTACAGTTTATGATAAATTGTGGGGTGGAAATAAACAAGGAGTTACTATAGTAAACAATACAAGATACCTATTCGGGGCTTAGAAAAAATGAAAAACTCTTTAGTCAGATAAAAAAGGGAATTGGAAGCCAGATGGACAGTTGGAGGGATGAAACAGAGAGGAGAAATAAGATATACAAGTGGTACGTAAGTATCTCCCCGTCAGTGGAGGAATCTCATTCACCAGGTTTGGGAACATTAACCTGAAGTTCTAAATTGAGGGAGAGGGTATGGCAAAGTTCTTTCCAGTTACAAAATATTATGAATTCCTTTAACTTTTTTGATAATGAATAGGATAGCAGGACTACAGAAAGGAGTCTTCCAGACACAGTGATTCTCAGCTGGAGACGACAGGTAAAGCAAAGAGGGAGGTGTATTCTAACTACACATTGAAAGTCAGCACAAAGCAATTCAGACATGGATGGAATTTCTCACCTCTTGACTTTCCATTTTAAAAGGAGCCACCACTGGATCTCAACACTATGATAGAATGCTTATAACTTACACTTCATGAGCACTAAACATGTATTAACTTCCTCAGTCCTTACAAGTCTATGGCCAGTGAAAGTGTTCGTCACTCAGTCATGTCCAACTCTTTGCAAACCTACTGACTGTAGCCCACCAGGCTGCTCTGTCCACGGAATTCTCCAGACAAGAATAGTGAAGTGGGTAGTCATTCCCTTCTCCAGGGGATCTTCCTGACCCAGGGATAGGACCAAGGTGTCCTGCACTGTGGGCAGATTCTTTACCATCTAAGCCACCAGGGAAGCCCAAGGGGGTGGTCCATCATCCCCATTTTGTAAGGAAGAAACCAAGGCACAGAAATGTTAAGTGATATGCCCAGAGTCATACAACTAGGCAGTGCTGGTCTGGCTGCAAGAAGAATCATCTGGGAAGTTTGCCAAAACAGATCCCTAGTCTCTGCCCCAGACCTGCTGAATCAAAAATCTCTAGGGTGAGGCCCAGAAATCTAAACAAGCTCCTCACATGAAGGTGATGCACAACTAGACTCAGGAACCACTTGGTGCAGGACCCTTAAAAATTCAATTTCTATAAATCTATTTTATTACTACTTAATTGGAGACATGAAGGGGGAATGTGGGTTAATAATGTTCTCATTTACAAATAGCTCCACTCCTTTCACAAAAAGCTTGAAAGAGAAACAGCCAGTGAGGAGGAGGCAGGACAGGCTACATTTAAGGTATGAGTAAAGTGAAATCAGATTGAACTGTGCTCAAGGAATTAAAGTCAGAAACAGGTCTTTTAACTCACAGGGCAGTGTGGGATCAGTGCCCAAATGTGATTTGGCAATAGAGCTTTTTATTTATATAGGCCATCTTCCTGCTGGAAAGAAGCATGTGTCTTAATCCTTATCTTCCTCCTCTCTTTGTGTATTTCTTCCAGTAACTTAGGAACAAAGGGAAGTTATGAATTTTAATGACCACTAGAAAGACATACAATTAACTGTAATTCTTTGAACTTTCCCCCAAAATGGATATAGCTGGCAAAAGAGTGAAACAGCTGGGAAAAAACAAGAATTTGCTCTGACAAAAGAAAGTGTATTGTTCTCAATAATCTAAAAACAAAAGTACTTTTCCTGTTAAAAGTTGTAGCCCTTTCCTTATAATGATGATTTTCAACAGACCGATATTAATAGAAACATCTTTTTATATCACTCTTTATTCTCTATTCAAGAGAAGTTAACTTCCAAAAGAACGAGCCAACCCCCAAGCTAAGAATAATTTACCCTCCGATTACAGCTTTCTGTTTTCTAATCCCTCTGCTGTACATATTGGAAATAATTGTTTAATGAATTTATCTTGAACTCTTCCCATCACATTTTTTCTGCAACTAGGGTAGAGTGGTGGGAACCAGACACACAAATTAAAATTGGTGATTTCTTTTGCTGTAAGACTCTGTGATTTTAGGTTCACTACTGAAAAGTTGCAAGGATTATAATTACAGCATATGTGTAAGAATCTAAGAAAGCTAACTATTTTCATCTTCAATTCTGAGAAAACATCAAGTTTTGTGCCTGAAACAATATTTTGTTTAAAAAACGAAAGTCCACAAAAACAAACAGATGAGTATTTCAGTCAGTTATTTTAAACTTACCACAAACACCAACTTTCCAACATTGGTCCAAGGGAAATCATAAAGTAATTGTTTCTCTTCGTCTAAATTCTGTAGAAAGAATGATGAGTTACTTATAACTCGTATAAGTTATGCACATAGAGTTACCGAGGAAACTGACAGATACTCTAAAATAGCTCTAACTTCTTTCCCAGAAAACTAAAATACAGTAATTAAAATCTGAAAGAGGTCCCCAACTCTCTTTAGAGACATGCAGACAGTAATTAAAAGATAAATGATACAATTCTGCCACTTTGGGTTTCTCAGTGACTATGTTGCCTTTCAAGGTAATCTTTTCCCTTCTGGCCCATCTCTAAATTTAAATAAAAAGTCCAGAAGACTCAGGCATTCAAGAGATGAGATAAGGCACTCAGACTTTCATAACTGGATATTTTGCCTACACCAAAGATAAGGCATCCTTATGTTCTCCCAGGTCTCACTGACCTCCTCTTTCCCCTGTTGATGGCGGGATGATAACACCATCCCACCTGCAGAAGGATGACAGGAACTACTTACTCAACAGATGAGTTTTATCGGAAAATTGTAACGGAAATTAAAACGTCTGGGTCAGATACTTTGTCACAAAGTCATTTTTCTTTCCATAGTTACAGATGCACCAGATGATAAAAAAAGAATGCTAAAAATTAATGACACACAAAGAAAAATGTCTGGATATTCATGATCTATGAGTGATAAATGTGGGCCAATCTTTGGTTTGTTGTTTTCTGTTCTAGAGGACTTATCTGATGTCAAGGATCAGACTGTTTCACTTTGTCTATCTCACATTATCCACATCTGTGCTGGACAAATAAGAAGCAGTAACCAATCAATGGCTGGAAATAGGACCAGTGAGCACAGCACAGGACCAGGCAGGCATACTGTCAGAGTCAAGACATGGTGGACACCATTTGACACCTATTCCCCATTAACTAACCTGAAAAATCTGTATTCCCCGCATGGTCAATCCAAGGGTCAGAGAAGCTTCAATTTCCCTTTTATCCTATAGGAATAAAATTATGTGAAAAAGTGTATCTTTCTTCTGTAAGAAATAATTCAGCACCAAAGAATGAAAGATACATTTCAGAATTTGAAAGCTTTTTACTTAAAATAGCTTTGCCTTTCTGCATCCCTTTTTTCCTCTAAGATACAAGAAAACCATGGGAACATATTAAATCGATAATGGTATTTTCTATTTTTTAAATCTTTGAGATTTCAGAGTTTTAATGTTTTTATTGTATTACAAACGTTTTCATATCTGAAAATATTCTAAATTCGTGTGTTACTGAGAACTCTGGTAAGACTATTTGCTACTTTTACATCAATTTTTTTTTAAACCTTCTATGCTACATTAAGTCACTTCAGTAGTATCTGACTCTTTGTGACCCTACGGACTGTAGCCCGGGATTCTCCAGGCAAGAACACCATAGTGGGTTGCCATGCCCTTCTCCAGGGGATTTTCCCTACCCAGGGATCCAACCAGTGTCTCTTACATCTCCTGCATTGGCAGGTGGGTTCTTTACCACTAGCGCTGCCTGAGAAGCTCCTTTTAACCTTCTATCTAATGCCTTTTCTCAGATGTTAGAATCTTGAATATAATGTCATAGTTATATTCTGAGGTGCAGTAGGTTTTGTGTATTTAAAACTGGTTAAATCTCCCAACTCTGAAACAAAAGTCAGAGGCAAGCCTGAATAGTTAATGGGCTTTCCTACTTGACAGCATGCAAAAAAGCAGAGACATTACTTTGCCAACAAAGGTCTATCTAGTCAAAGCTATGGTTTTTCCAGTAGTCATGTATGGATGTGAGAATTGGACTATAAAGAAAGCTGAGTACTGAAGAATTGATGCTTTAGAACTGTGGTGTTGGAGAAGACTCTTGAGAGTCCCTTGGACTGCAAGGAGATCCAACCAGTCCATCCTAAAGGAAACCAGTCCTGAATATTCACTGGAAGGACTGATGCTGAAACTGAAACTCCAATACTTTGACCACCTGATGCAAAGAGAACTGACTCACTGGAAAAGACTCTAATGCTGGGAAAGATTGAAGGCAGGAGGAGAAGGGGATGACAGAGGATGAGATGGCTGGATGGCATCAGCGACTCAGTGGACATGAGTTTGAGTAAGCTCCAGGAGTTGGTGATGGACAGGGAAGCCTGGAGTGTTGCAGTCCATGGGGTCACAGAGTTGGACATGACTGAGCGACTAAACTGAACTGTATAGTTAACATTCTCTCATGAAGATAGTTTAGAGCTATAAAGCTTTACATTATGTTAGTTTGGAAAAAGCACTTATTTTTAAGAAGTTCAATTATCACCTGCCAATATGATATACACTCAACCAGCTAAACTATAAACTGAAAAAATATATATATATATATATACACCACAACAAATATAAGGGAAAACTACTGTACTTAGCCACATCTTTTAAGCACTCATCTGTAACAAGTGGATGTAAGATGTAAAGTTCAAAATAGAAAATAAAATTGCTAAGTCACTATTTTCAGTATGAGATTTCTCAATAAAAAAAATAAATGAGTATGTACAGCTCTTTATTATGTTCAGTTCCAGTTTTTGCATAATCATGGAAAGAAGTATTTTTAGAAAATGTATCCTCAGCTGGCATAGTAAAGAGAAGATAGAGCCTATATTTACTACTGGGGCTGTTCCCCCCCCCCCCACTAATATCCTTTACATCAAGAAAGGCACATACAGTATAGGTTTAACAGGAGAAACCAATTCATCACTATGAATTTAGGCCAATATCCCTTTAAAGGCTGTTCTGACTGCTTCCAGAAATAAGACTGTGTTCATAAAAATGCTGGTTGTATGTGTATGAGGTATGTATCACTGGGCAAGAAGTACAGAGGTTTGTTGTTGTTGTTTTAAATTTCCTGTCTCCTGTCTCCATTTTATAAACAGGTCTTAAGTGAAGCACTTTTAATGGCAGTCACTTAATTTCTTTAAAGAATGAAAATTCTTTCCATAAGGAAAAAAATATCTATTTCTCCACCTCAATCAGTTCATTAGCATTATCTTGTTTTAAGGAGGCTAGGGTGATTTTTATGCCATGTAAATGTAGCACACTTTGAGCAAATTGAAAAATTAAATTTTACATAAAAGATAAATCAGAGATATCTACTTTATCTACTGAAGAATTCTTAATATGATTCTTTAAAATACCAAAGCTTCCCTAGCAAATAGAAAGCAACCAATATTTACTGAGCACTTACTAACGTGCCAGGCACGCCATTTGGCCATTTCAGATTCATCATTTTGTTGAATCCTTCCTGACCTGTGACATGTATAGGATCATTCCCATTGAACAGATGCCCAGGACTGCAGTGACAGTCCCCCAGGATCCCAGCAAGAGTCAGTGCTGGTGGAGGGTTTCTAACTGATGATCTGATTCTAACGCCATACTCTCTCCAATGTATCATTCATACTTCTAATACATTTTAAAATATAAACTTATTGTCAAACATGTCATTAATTTTCACTTTCTCTTATAAGTCGAGGTGTCACAATGAACTCTCTTAAAAGAAAAGCAAGAACTCAGTCTTTTAGGAATTTAACTGAAGAGGTCTTTGGAAGTCTTTGCCTTTCAAAGATGACAGGGCATTAACAAAGCATCTCTTGGGCATGAAAGGGGAAAAAATAACATCCTTTGCTCTCTTTTTAAGTTTTTTGAATCAGCCAAGAAAATTACCCATCAATATATCCAATTTATGGTCCAGTATCTAATGGCCTAATTATGCTTATCTTACCACATGGGTAGAGCAGAGATAGCAAACCTAATAATAACAAAGATAATGGTAACAGAAACACATTTAACATCATACTTAATGAGTGCTGGGCACTGTTTTAAGCACTTTTCACCCACTAATTCCTTTAGTCTTTAATAAAACTCAGAATTTATTGGGTTTGTTACCATCTCCATTTATCTATTGGGAAACCAAAGCACAGTAACATGCCTAAGGTTACACAGTAAAGGCTGAAGCTGGGATTTAATTCCAGCTAGCTGGATACAACAGACCACACTCTGAACCACCTCATCCTATTTGGTTGGAGAATAAATATGCCTTTGAATAGGGGAATTGAAGGGTTCTTACCATGGAAGTGATACTTGTGGAATAGGGAGAGGAGAGGAGGAGAGGGAGAGAAGACAGAATGTGGTGAATAGTTTTGCCAGTGATTCCCTGCAAGGCCCGCCCCAGTTATTAATTGAATGTGTGACCTCTGGCTCAGAATGGAAAAATGAGGCTAGACACAAGAACACAGAACATAAGGACACAGGACAAAAGAAGGAACAAACTTCAGAGTGAGAGAAGCAAGAAAGTCAGTGATTCAGGCACAAAGGTTCTTGTAAGCAGACATGGGTTGACTCCTGTCTTTTACTAGTTTTGTAATCTTTGGTATGTATTCCTGTTTGTAAAATGAAGATTACAGTCCTATCTTATAGAGTTATGAGTATTTTTTTAAAAAGGATACATATGAAGTGGTCCGTAAATAGAAAACTCAATAAACATTAGCTTCTGTGGTGGTGCTCTTATTACTAATGGATACAATGCAGGTGTGGCTTCACTTATTAAACAATTATTGATCAAAGAAGTAGCAAATGTTACTCCCCAAGGCAGAAATGCAGATTTTGGGAAGGAGAAGAATAACTATTTCATAATCACTGAAAAGCCAAAAGCACAATTTACAGCCTCTTGTCATCTCAATATCAGAACCATGAAAAAGACTCACTCCTGTTCCCAGGCCCGAAGAAAAACATCACTGACTCCAAGACTGACTTATGATGACAAACAGCAGTTCAAATAAAAACTCTTTTAAAAACGACCAAAACTTAAAAAAAAAAAACTTCTCCTGATCAAGAAGATACAGCTGCAGACTTACTGCAGTTTTGTACCTTATACAATCTGTAGTAGTGAACAGCGACGTCATCCAGTCGGACAGCCTCTTTGATATATTTAAGATGAGCCTCAGAAGCTGTCAGTGCAAACTGATCTTTGTGCATGTTTGGAATGTGCTTCAGGATGTAGTCCTTCCCTCTCTTGGAAACAACCTGTTGGGATACAACGGAGCGCAATGCAACATTTGTTGGAAGGATTCAAGTATAACACGACCCTCACCCCGCAAATGATGAAAGGCCGAGAACTGAAAATAGGCCATTGAAACTGGCTGATTTCCACCAGGAAATTCTCACGCTGATTCTCTTTTGATCATCTGTGATGTTACTAGGCTGAACAAACTAATACTACAAGGTACAGAGTCAGTTTAGCTGTAGTACTTCATATCTAAGAAGAAAAATCGCAAGAAATGGGAAAAATATGTTCTCTTGGCTTTAAAATCACTAACAAGGAAAAACCATGCAAACTTGCACAATTTTATCCACATCATTGTTTACACTTGCAGAATTATTGGTACCATGAAATACAGCTACTGTTAGCACATCTTCAGGTTCTGGATCCTACTTAACTCTTCTAAAATTACAGCCACAGAGTGGGAGGCTCTTAATGTTAATCCAAAGAAGGCAGAGGACTGCAAGGAATTCTTAGAAACATTTCTGGTTTCTGCATAAGAGGCTGATATACACACTCTACTCAAATGCTTAGGAGAAAACAATTTCACTCAAATATTCATTACAATTTACTGCGACTTCAGTTTTCATCAGACAGCAGTCTAAGCTTTCAGATTTAAAAAACATATAGTGTTCAGTAGCTACAGGGTCAAATAAAAGGTGTTGATAAGTTAAAAGTCTTAGCTGACTTCATGAAGATTATAAAAGATGGAAAGAAGTATGCAAAGTGAACAGAAAGCATTTTTAGTGATCAGAATTTAAAAATTAGAGAATTTTTAGTTTTATCAGTTTTTATTGTTATTGTCATTTTTTTCTTTCTATGAATATTTTAAGGAGAATTAAACATGATGAATTACTGGCCAATAATCAAGTTTTGCTGATAACTCATTATAGATTTTTTCCTTCTGGATTCCTTTTACATGGAGATCATTTAAATCAGTACTTATCAACCTTTTTCAGGTCAAAGAACCCCTAGAAAATAGTATTTGAAAGGGTAGTGAAGTATATATAATAGGTGGTTCTGGTGATCACAAGGGTCAAGGAAGCTGGTCTCTCAGTACCCTGGGCGCCATGGCACATTAATCAGGAAGCTCTGCTTTAAAGACCAAGAGTCCATGAGAACCTGATGATAACTAGAGAATGGAAATACAGGCTACTTTTGGTCCCACAGGCACTGCTATGTAATAGCTTGACACCCTCTGCGGTTTTTCTTCAACAACTGAAGCACAGTCAGCCCATGAACAAAAGCTTGTCTTGAGCACCATGATGTGAAATGCTGAAGAAACAGAAAAGGTTAAGTTTACACCTGTTCTTTAGGATATCTTAAGAAACACTCAGATTACTGGGTGCAAGAGATAAGCAGAACATTTGAAAATAAAATACTTTTGTTCAGGGTCTTATTGAGCCTAGAGAAAGGGACCTGGGCACCTAGACAGTCTGTCCACAGAACACACCTGGGCAGGAGTAGCCAGGTAAAACAGGGAGGGTGCCTCACCAGCTAAAGAAGCTGTAGGCTGAAAGGTAAAACTACAGGAGGTGTGGAGACACAGTAATGCTGGGTGTTGCCGGAGCACAACACAGGAGGTGCAGGACAACCAGAGAGGAAGGTGCAAAATTGGCAGGGACCATGAGCTGGGAAGCTCCTAGCTCATGTCTGGTAGTCAGGCCTTCACTCTGCAGGTGAAGGTTTAAATCAGAAGCAAAATCGACTTCTCTGCAAGCTGTGAAGTGAAGCCTAGATCAGGAACAAGTGTCCACTGGTGAGTGCTGACGAGAGCTGGCACCTGGGGAACGGGAGGAATCATGACCTGGGTTGGGGTGGGCATGTGGTAATGTTTAGGAAGTTAACAGCAACAAAAACACAAGAGAATTTTATTCCCTAAGCTGGGTGATGGGGAATCAAGGGTGTATATTAGAGGATATTCTCATGACTGGATGGGGCAAGGTAAAAGAAGAGTGTTAAGGAAGAGCCTGAATGACTCAAGTTTCTAGGTGACCAGGGCCACTGGCTGAGCTTAAGAACATAGAAGTGGGAACACACAGAACTGAGGTGGGAAGCAGATGAATTTGATCTGGGGCACTGTGAGTTTGAGGTGCCTATGGGTAAACATCTGTCTTACAGACATGAGGGAGGGAAACAGATTCGGGAGGTGCCAGCACATAAGTGGTTGTAAAAAGCATCAATTTGGAGGCGATCTCCTGGGATAGGAGTGACTAAGTGTCAATCACAGCAGTGAAACCCAGGAAAAGACGTGAAAAGTGTCCACTGGATTTGGCAACTTAAAGGTTACTGGTGGCCTTAAGGACAGCGCCATGAGTGGAGGGGCTGGTGAGGGAAGAAGGCAGACAGATGTTGGTTGAGGAGTACACGTCAAAATAAAGACGCTAAAGCATCAAATTTACATCACTTTCTCAAGAAGCTTTACTGAGAAGGGAAGGAGAGATGGGTAGCTCTTCTTTCCCTCCCTCCTTCCTCCCCTGAAGACAGGGAGGTGTGAACCAAAGTATGCTCTGACTTAAGAGGAGTCAGTTCAGGTAGAGGCTGAAGATATAGAAGAGAGAGATGCCTCAGCAGAGACCTGGAGGAAGAACGGGAAGTGAAGTCAGCAGAGTACGGTGTAGGAAGGATGGCTGAGACAGTCAGGGCTCAAATAACCTACATTTTCTTGCTGAAGGAAGGGGGTGGCTCCTCTTTTGATAGTGAAGGAGATGGTGGTCAGCACAAGCAGTTCACTTATATTTGTTTTCTCAGCACAGGAAAAGTTGTGAATGATGTCACTTTTTAAAGAATAGTGTTTTTCTTCTCCTGAGAGGGAAAAATGCTGCTCGAATTAAGAGTAAATAAGAAAGTCAAGGCTGAGTAAATCTCAAAAGAAGGCTGACAAATTCCCAGTTCCAGCATCTTTAGGATGGACAGTCATCCTCTTCCTCATTACCTAGGTACAGGTCGAGTCTGTGGAGAGACTGTGTGCGCCACGCTCTCAAGTGTGAAATGTGTGCCCGGGTGTCATGGAGGGTGTGTGGGCCATCAAACACCTGGTTTTCCAGTTCTTGAAGCTGCATGAGTAGCTTGACTATTTCTGGTCACTACTGGTCTCTTTGTCATTGCCATTCCGCCTCACAATGTGTCTAACATAGAGGCTAGACATTTTAGGGGTTGATATGTCTCTATCGAACTAGAACAATGAACTAGAAATGTGCTAGAGAAAATGCTTTAGATCTGAAAACAGTGCCTACCCAAGATGGGAAGTAAGCCTCAGGCTCGAAGTATTTTCCATAGTGCTTATTCCTTTTGAAGTTCCCAAGATCAGCCTGCAGTGCAAAGGCTGCCAGCAGGAAGTAGGCCTCCTCTCGGAGCACACACTGCGAATGAAGAACTTGTTTTCTCAGGTGCCAGTAATAATAGTATCTTGCTGCTCTGTCACTAGGAAAAGAAAAGAAAGCAGACTCGCATCTTGATGGACAATCTAAACGCATGTAAACAGAGCCCTCCTGCTGTCCGTCTGAGGACAGGAGCTCTTCTGTCCTGCTCCCTCCTCCCCCACAGTCAGCAACACCTGACTGCTGTCTAATGGCTGCTTCACTCAGGTCTCAGGGGGACAGGACCCCAAGTCAGGCTACCCAGACTGCAAAGGCAACACTTCCTGAGGCCTGGGCATTCGATTCATTCAGAAGACGGAAAAAAGATCTGAGTCATCCCACTCCAATGTTACTACATTGAACACGTATTAGAAGAGAAGCCTAGGCATTCGTCGTCTGTATTGAAATAATTTTGCTACCATGATGCTGCACACACAACATAAATAAGGACAAATCTGGGGACAATCCTGGTTTTAATGTCATGCGTCCTTTTTTGTTTTTCATCTGAGCAAATTACAAATACATTATGCCCTTTAAAAAAAATCTCTATTTATATTCTCTACTAGAAAAAATTTGCTTGAGTATAGTTTTTTTCCCTCTAAAAATGAATGAACTGAAAACTCTCTTAAAATCCTTTAAAATAAAAAAATTAAGCAGATGTTACTTGATGGGTGTGCTTTTATAGGTACATGCCACAAAATCATGATAGTCCTCACAAACGGAAATAGTAATAGTGCACTCATTACAATCTGTTGAGGTCAGAAATAAATATAGTTTCCATTAAATACACTAAAGAGTGCTGACTGGGTAAAAACACAGTCAAGCTCCAAAAAATGTCACAGGCAAACAGGACACCTCTGTGATCAAAGTAAAAAGGCAAGGGGAAAAAATATGTGTGTATTTGTGTTATATATTTAATGAGTATTTGCCTCCCTATTATTTTAGGTTGAATGTTTACCTGAGAGTCATAGCTCATTAGTTGATGATAATAAAAACATACGGGTTTATTTTAACCAAGATCATGTTTAAGAATGAAGAATTTAAAAATAAAGCATTTATGTAATCTTTTCCCCTTGGGACAGAGTACTTTCAGAGCACTGTGTATAATGCTGAGTACACAGCATTTGGACTAGCTCATCACTGGAGAAAAGGGCAGAAGTATAGGGTTAATGAAACATTCATTAGTCCCAGGGGGCTAATTAGTGGCTCAATACTATATTTTTCTTCTTTCCAGCACATTCCATTCCAATTATGTACACTGAGTCAAGATTTTATACAAACTGAGAATAACTAAAAAGGTTTCTCTGCCTTTAAAAACATCCTATATGGGCTCATATTTTTTACTTTTTAATTTGCTTGTGGCAATAATATAAATATTAAGAGCAAATCTCAGATACAACTCATTAGTTAAATGTATCTTTGTCCCTATTAACATGGGGTTTCTCAAACTTTAAAAATAAGTAACTGAAACACAGAGTTCACATTTCTAGTAATTTCTACCAGGTGACAAAATCACCTCTGAAAGTCTTCCAGCCTGAATCCTCCTATACAAATGTTAATCTGAGCTTCTGAACTGGTGACTTCTGGGTCTGTATCATGTGCAGAGTAGTATTCAGGCACCCACCTCCAGAAAAAGAATCAGTTACCTGCCCTTGCCAAACTGCATCTAAGATTCACAGGATAGCTCTATTGGGTGTAATCTTAGTTTTAGAGATACTGCCAAGCACAGAAGCAAGAACCCAAAGGTGAAAAGAAAACGAGGCGATATAAACACCCATGCGTTTTTATAGGACAGAGTTCTTGCTGTCCCTTTTCTCACCCCACCACCAGAAAAGAATACAATGCATTAACCAACCTCTCCTCTTTTCACAAAAGTGCTAGTTCTTCCTTAAAGGAAGTACCTTTTCAGTGACTGATTTGTTACGGAAAATGTGGAGTAGAGAAAATGTGAGCTGGTGATACTGTTAACAATTTCACTGATAGTCTAACATTACCACTCGTTCATTCAACAAGTATGTATTGAGTGTCTACTGTTACCTCTGTTTTAGGGACTGAAGATACATGTGTTTGCAGAAGTTGTTTTTTTTTTTTTTTTTTTAAACCCCTGTTCTTGGGATTTCCCCGATGGTCCAGTGGTTAAGACTCTGTACTCCCAATGCAGGGGGTCCAGGTTTGATCCCTAGTCAGGGAACTAAGATCCCACAAGCTGAAATTCAGAGCTTGTGTGCTGCAACTAAGACCCTGCGCAGCCAAGTAAATTAATTAAAAAGAAAATCTCCCTGCTCTTTTATATTCTAGCAGGTGGAGACAAACAATAAACACAAGAACTTTATTTGATACATTAGAAGATGAGTACTGTGGAAAATGAAAGGTCTGGAATTTCTCCTTGTTCTCATACCTGATCAATCGGCCATTTTCCACATAATACTGCACACGGAAGTGGATGATCATAGGAGGTCCAAACTGATCAATTCCCTAAACAAAGACACACGTAAAAATCAGGCTGTTTTTAGTTACTTCAAAAGTGGGCTTCAAAAGCAACAAATATCATTTTCAAGACACTTTTTAAACATTGAAAGGTTTGATCTACTTCAAATGAGTAGGGGCTTCCAGTAGGTATGCAGTTGTCCATGCAGAAATAGGAAGTTATAAAGCATCATCACTATCTGATACTCATTCACTGTAATGCCAGTGACAACATAAGGGAAGATAAAAATAAATGCCAGTGGAAAGTTCTAGCTGGGATCCAGCTCCTCTCCCAGCTCTGTCCCCTGTGGTGACCATTTGCTCCTCATTACAATGTTCTCCTGTTCCTCTGACATTCCACATACCAAATTCTAACACACTGTTTGTTTATTTAGACATTCATGTTCCTTACTTTGTAGTTGGCTTTGAAGTAGCCTTCTGTTTATTCCAAGAATTCTTAAATACAAATTGGTGGATCAAGGATTACACACTGGGGATAATTACTGTTTTGTGAGGGTGATCTTGAGAACACTAGGTAAATTCCCAGTGAATGTTCTCCTATGCAAATGCAAGGCACGGGTTCAATAAAGTAATAAAATATCAATGTAAAGATAGTAAAAGCAGAGTTTAAAATGACTAATAATTTCTAGACAGTCAGTTTTGATGACTAATGTGGCCAAAGAAGAGGAACAAATACTTTTCCCATGATTTTCATTTCAAAACATTATCCCAAGGTTATGGAAAAGTTATTGTCCAATATTATTTTAGCAGATGTTCAAAATCTTTTGCTACATGCTATAAACTATTAATCCTTCACTAATGTGATATTTTAGAACTTATAATTCATATCCCTTTCCAAATCTTTACTATATAAAGTGTTAAGATGTTTTCCTAATGTTAACAGCTAAAATAAACCTTTTCTAAAATCAAAATAATTTTGCTGATAAATGTAATCTCACCCAAGTGACTTCGTATTGTCGTACCTTGCTGGCTTCTTTCTTCCATTCTTTTGGACAATACTTATAAAGCTTTTGTGACAACTCCATATATACGTGTTCATTATCTGCACATTAAAAAAAAAAGGAGACCAGATGATAAAGGATAGATTTTTTTTAAAAGAAAAGAATATACAAAGAAATGGGTTTTTCAAAAAGAAGCCTCAAGCTTTCTGAATGTACTCTGAACACACATATCACCAAGAAAAATCAAAACATAAAAAGATATAAGGTTCTATGGGATAGCTATTAATGACATTATTATTTTGCTTTTGCAATAAAGAACATGTATCATTGAAAATGTTAACATATAGAAGAAATGTTAGATTCCTATTCTTGCTTTTACTTAGTTTCCATGGTCATTATAACTTATAGTTTAACTTCCAACACTGTGGGTGTTACTCAGTCTTAGAAAAACATGCTTTTGTTTGGTTCACAGAGGATTCATCTCATAAGTGCAAAGTAATAAAAAAGGGCAGAAAAAGCATCTTAATTGCTATGTAAGAAACTAAAAAAAACCTGATGATAAGTGATTTGTTTCCGAGTGAGGAGCCTGACCCATGTGTTTTGTGAAGAGACATCTCTAATACTATTCCTTCTCTGTGTTATCCACATAAAACACAGAATGACAAAACGATAAAGCATTACTTGCACTGCTTTTGGGGTTGATCTTGTGGGAAAAAGAAAATAATCTTATGCAAAACAAGAATGGATGCCAAAATACTTCTTCAAAATATTAATGATGTTCTTAAGATGAGCAGAAAAGAAGACTGCTAAGTAACCCATGTAAAAATGATCTAAACATGTGAAAACTAGCTAGTAAAAAGTGCAAAATTTTGCATATTTCCCAAATGGACTCTTACGAAAAATATTCCTATCTTGTACAAAGTTTTCAACTTTTTTTGTTGTTGTTGTTTTTAAACTCCTTCCTTTTTCTCTAACCATCACCCTGGGGTCATGCTCATGGAAAGTCCTGCATAAAAACATACTCGTTGTGGAAGAAAAGTGTGTCTCTTTGACTATTCCAAGGATAACACACGCCCACACTATCACTCATGACTGAATATTGGAATTTGACAGAACAAGTCAAACATTTGACTAGAACAGGAAGGGTAAAGCCACCCTTTGTCAATGAATGTCATAATATAAGTCAACCAGTGTGGATGAAAGGGGTAAAGAAGAAGTCCGAGAGACAAGAAGATGCTACTAAAATCCATTTATCACATGAACTAAAACCATCTCCCATTTCTACTATGTTACCAATTAAACATGAAATGGACAAGATCAGACAACCTTCCTGTTTAAACTGATTTGTTTTTGGCTTGTGTGACTGTCTGAAGAAGCAACATAATGAATAGAACTGAGATTGCTCGCCATAATGGCACATACATAGTATTTTAAATTACCACTGTTTCTACCATCCGGCAGTTTGACCAGAGCTGAATACTTTCTCAAATACACATCAATCCTGCAAAGCAGGTGAAGCAGTGATTTCCATTTGACATGAGAGAAAATTGAAATGGAGAGAAGGCAAGGGACATGTCTAAAGCCACATAGCTAGCTAGTGGTAGAACCTGAATCAGAACCAGGTCATCTGATGCCTGTTCCAAAGTTCTTGCACCATCCTGCAATCTCTCTTCTAAAAAACACATCTCAAAAACTCTTATTTGGAAACCAAGGAAACTGATTTTATGAGATTGACTTGCTGAACAGCAAAGATCAACAGTCCGTCTGTAGCTGAAGTAAGAAGAATTAACTCTGTGGGGCATCTTACTTCCCCCAGGCTCTTCCTTGAAAGAATGACTGAGGTGTATACCAATATAAAGATGGAGCTGAGCATTTGTGTTTTTGCTGCTTCCACTATCACAGGAAGAAACTAAAGAGCAAATAGTTGGTTCCTTTCTTCTTGATGTGTTCCCTGCTCCACCGTCTCTGCCTCTTAGAGCTGTCTTTTTAGATAAATGAAAACAGCTCACATTTTGGAGCTGAACTTATTGATCAGCTCATCATGATACACTTTCCAACTTGGGAGATCTGAGCATTTTATGGTACTAACCAGATTCTCAAGATATCATAAACCTTTAAATTGAAACCAATTTCAGTAGTAGAAAATAATTCATATCCAAATACAAAATACAGCTACATTTCACAAAAAAGGTTTCCTTGAAAAACTGAGCAAAGATCTGAAAGGTTTTTTGGTATCTAGAAAACTAAATTAGAGAAATTTTAAAGTATGATTTGAAAGAAAAAAGTTTTAAGGAACAGCTACACTTAAACTCTGGGAATTTAACTCTAACTAAGGTGTCACTGGCAGAGAAAGCTTATATGGAGCCCTTTACTTGAAAATCTTCTCCATGTAAAGTATACAGAAGAAACCGATCCCATATCTCCAAGTTATATGTTTTGACTGGAAAAAAAGAGAAGGGATAAAGGAAGGAAAAAAGAAAATAAGAGTAAATTAATAGATCACTTTGTTATACTATCATCTTCAACAGTAAGAGAACTGGAATAGAGAAAAGTCAGGTTTATTATGTCTACATTTTTTTCCCATTTATTTTTATTAGTTGGAGGATAATTACTTTACATACATGTTTTTTAATGTCAAAAATTTCAAAACAAATTAAATTACAAAAATAACCAAGGTAATTTCCTATAGTGCAAAGAAACAAAAATCAAGTTGGGTTCATTAAAACATAAAAGAGCAAATGCATAAAATCTAGACCCGTAAAAAGGAACCAGTTTTTGAGTTTAAACCGTAATAAATTCAAGACCTAAAATTCTAAATCACAGAAGAAATACACAACAGTTGAGTTTAATATATGAATACTAGATTAAAAGCCATGATTACAAGTACTTTGACAATCACAATTACACAACAATATGCTCAATTAAGTTACAGCTATAAAATGCCATTTCCTCAGGGACAGTTGTCTAACTCCATCAGAGACGGGACTGAGACTTACTTTGTATAACACTGAGTCCAAAGAGGTGACAGTCCTTTAGCCTGAGTAGGTCACACACCTGGACCAGTAACTGGTGACACAGAATTTTGACCTACGGGAAAAAAAGACAAAAATAAAACTAACACAACTTAATTCAGCCAAGTCCAAACAGTGAGCCACAATCAGGCAATGTTAATGCATCCTAAATATACGCTGAAGGGACAAGCTGACACTAGCAAAACAACAGTTGGTTTATGGAAATCACTTTAATCTACAGCTGTTTCAGTAATGATGATCACAATACAAATTTCTACAACATGGTAATAAAGTACCAGTGCAATCTTGTACGAGACTCACAAATCTGAGGACACATGGACAAGGTGTACTCTATAGCCATGGTGCACGATAAATATGTATTTCAGAAGGAAACCAAAATAATCTAATGATCAAAATAATTATCAAAATTATTGATTTGGCAAGTATTTTTACAAGGAAAGTTTTCATCATAATGGTTTAAACAAAATGCTCATATACCACACAATGAGTGAATACCTAGCTTTTATTTACTTTAATCAATCACTTTCATTGCAATCTTTTAAGTACTAAACCAAGTTCTTTTCTGAGTCCTAGTATAATAATAAAATCATGTTAATTTGGAACATGGAACATAGAACAGGTTAAGTTATTCTGAAAAGTCACATGCTGAAAGATAAAACAGTCTTTAAAAGACACAGTTTTATTGGCTTTTCAAATACTGAATGAAATATTTTGGGGGACACATAATTCTAATGAGTCTGCCTTGTTGAACTCAGAACCACTAAAGCTTATCGGCATTGGGATTGACATTAAGAGACCATATAAGTCAATTTCTTCATTTGATAGACATATAAAAGAAAACCCAGAGAGCCTGAAGTCATGTAGTTAGTATTATCAGAGACAGTAATTCAGAACTTTGCTCATTTGTGTATTATATTTTTGTATGTAAATATTATTAAAATATGTGCAACATGACAGTTCACTCTAGCTACATATATTATGTGTGGCATTTCCCCTCATATTTGTACTAGTAACTTGCAACTTCTTTCTTCAATAATCATGCCAGTTACAGTTTTAATGATTATAAATACTAAATTAGTTAACTTTGAATTAATGATTTTTTATCATACTTTAATATATAACTTAGATTCAGAAAATAAAACATGTTGAGATCTCTTAATAATTGAAGGTCAAACAATTCAGAATGGTGACAATGTCAACTGGAGTAAGAAAGATAGGTTTATGGCTCTTTTCCATATTCACTATTAATGTGAATAGTGAATTCACATTGGCTCAGCAGTAAAGAAACCTTCTGCAAAGCAGGAGACACAAGTTCGATCCCTGGGTTGGGAAGATCCCGTTGGGGAGGGCATGGCAACCCACTCCGGTGTTCTTGCCAGGGTAATCCCATGGGCAGAACAGCCTGGTGGGCTGCAGTCCATAGGATTGCAAAGAGTCAGACACACTCAGGGACTGAGAACATATGCAATCTGAAGCACCTTATCCACTAGGAAGTGCAAAAGTATTTATGTAAGGCCAAACAGCACCACTTCAGCTGTTTAGAAGTAACAGGAATTCCATGGAGCTGGGACAGTGTCTTATTTTATACTCAGAATATACAGCAGGCATTCAGTAAATGTCTGATGAATGAAAGCCAAGGATCTGATTTCCTGTGGGTTCCTCACCTTCCTTCTGGTCCATGACTACAAACTATAGTACTCTGGCCCACTGTGCAGATCATTTAATACTATGCCACTCAAGAATTTGTATCAATACAAATTGATTGTACTGAGGGGGTACATTTGCCAAAAGGAAATCAGTGTCACCTTCATTCACTAAAAAGACTTTGGATTTGAGTTCTGTATTACTGAAACTACACTTTATAAATAAGCTTAAATAAAGAAAATGATACAGTTATGGGAAAAGTATTTAAGGTTAAATAAAACTGAACTATATACTACAAATTTGAGACTTAAAGAAGTCTAGGACTTTAATCTTAAGCTTTGACTGTATTCTAAAATATCACATACAAAGTACTTTGGATAAAATATGATTAAAAAGTTAAAAGAAAAATTCCAAATCACATGCTGTATACAAAATAAACTATGTTGTACCTTTGTATAACTGTTGTTCAAATAATCTGTGCATTTCTTCCATACCTCCTATATAATTATTATTGTTCCACTAGTTTTAAATCAAGTATCTGTCTCCCTCATTGTAGACAGACGCTTTACCGTCTCAGCCACCAGGGAAGTCCTTGGCTAACAACTATCAAGGAAATACAATGTTCTTGTTTAAAAAATTGCAAGTAAGTAAGGCTGTGGCTCTGAAGTCTAACTTACTGTGAAAACAATTTTGAGTTTTTTACATTTGCATATTATGAGTCTTGAAGGCTACATTTTAGCTGACTGAAATTTTTCAAGTTCTTTAATCTTCAGGAGCAAAGGAACTTTAAAAGGTGCCATAGAATATGAGGCATTAGGGATAAGAATGAAAGCATTATCGAAAAATAGACTTTGTATGGAACTTTTTAATAAAAACAGCATCTAATTCTCAATGTCAATGGCCTGTTGAACAAGAATGTCTAAAATATGCTACAGAAAAAGAATTGTTCACTCTCGTCTCAGTGAAGAGATATGATCTCTTAGCCACAATTTATATCACTGAAAAATTTTGTAACTCCTACATTAACATAATTTTATTTCCAAAAATTTCCAAGTTTCCATATTTAATATTTATCTGATGACTAAAATTATTTAGAATAATCCCTATTTGTTTAATTCATGGAAAATTAAAAATGATCAAAACTACATTTACCCTATGCAGAAAGGCAATATTCTATCCATTATACTTCTCAGGGAATAAATTTTCTTTGGTTAAAAAGTGTTTAGAAATGATTTTTAAAAAGGAGACCATTAATGAAATAGTTTTTGTTACAGTTAATTTGTTCTACCACAACTCTACAAACATCACTGCTATTTTCTGAAGACAAAAATGATACTTTGTAGAAAATGACAGGCCTCTGGCAGCCCTGAGTTGGCTTTGTAGCAGTGAGGGGACCCCAAGCTACTTAACCCAGTTCCTCCTCCTCCCTCCTTTGGTCCAGCAGCTTGCTTGCTAATGAGGAGTCTGGACACAGCAGGGCTGTCCATGGACCCTGGAATAAGAACAGGTCTACATGGTGTTCAGAAGTTGAGTTTCATTAATAGAGTGAGCATACAGCTCAAAGAAATGAAAACAAGTGCCACTCCATTAAGTGCTCACTCACTGAGGCCAGACACAGCAGTAAGCATGGATGCATGTTATGTCTTTATATCCTCACAATGTCCCTGTGAGGAGAGCAGATTATTTTCACTTTACAGAAGAGGGAACCAAAGCAAAGAACTAATTTGCCCAAGGTTGCAGATGTGAAGTAGGGATTTCAACATAGGTCCCTGTGTCCCACACTAGACTTATTACATCAGCACCTCCAAGGAGTGAAGTCCAATAGTTTGAGTATTTATCAAGCTCTCCAGGTAATTTTTTAGACATCAAGTTGTAAAATCACTGATCTATAGGAACAAATGAACTGCCTGTCAGTCTATTCTCTGTAACTATCTTCCTCAACTAAGATTTCAGTATAAATTAATTTCTTAGAAAATTATAGCCAGTTCCTAGTATTCCTCATGAAATAACATTAGTCTTCCTTCTAACTTACCTGAGGTCAGTAATGCTTTGTTCCCTATACTGTATGTGTGTACACACACATGAACACATTTTTACATATTCGGCCAGGTGAAAAGGCAGAAATGGAACTGAGAGAAGTTTCTTAAGTGCTTATACTATATGTTTATGTATATTTTAAAATTTTAGTTGATACCTTCTCTATATAACTGTTAAAAGAACACAAACAGCATATTCATGTATACATGTAAATTATATTTTAATATATTCTGACAGTGCCCATACTGAAAAAGAGAGATAATGTTGCCAATTTTAACTAGGTTTTAAAAACCAAATGCTGGAATAATAACAGTTTTATTACTTCACATCCAAAACAACTTTGGGTAATCTGAGTATAAAAGAGCTAAATCAATAGAAATTCTGCCTAAGAGACTGATAAAATTCACTCATTAGGCAGGTTTGATACTCAGACAATTCCTTTAGGCAAAAACAAGGCTACATTAGTAAATCAAGAAACTGTGGAGACTGACAGAATGAAACCAAAATAATTATGATAAGCAGAATCTTTTCCTTTAAATTTTTAATGGAGCTATTAAATGTCATATAGCTTCAGTATAACATTTAGAAATATTCTTTTTATATGGCAATTGGGTTAAAAATACAGTAGCAAGAAGAACTAATTCAAGGCATGAACTAAGGAAATTTTTTCCTTAATTCCAACAGAATACAAAGAAAGAACATGAAAGTTAACAATAGGGAGGGGTTGACAAATGCTAGGCATGACTGTGATCACAGAAAACTGTGCAGCAGTCTCTACCAAAGCTCAACACATGCATACATCATGATTCACAATCCACTTCCAGGTATAAGCCCAGACATGTATATACACGTGTGTATGCTCAGTCGCTAAGTCATGGTCAACTCTTTTACAACTCCACGGACAGGAGCCCGCGAGGCTCCCCTGTCTATGGGCTTTTCCAGGCAAGAATACTGGAGTGGGTTGCCATTTCCTTCCCCAGGGTTTCTTCCTGACCCAGGGGTTGAACCCGTGTCTCCTATGGCTCCTGCACTGGGAGGCTGATTCTTTTACCACTGAGCCACCTGGGAAGCCCATATACATATGTGTATATACATAAAATCTTCATAACTGTTTTATTTGTAATACCTCCAAAACATAAAATAACCTAATACCCATCAATAACAGCTGGAGAAAAAATTAGGCATATTCATACAATGAAATATAATAATGAAAAAAAGAATTACTGTCACATGCAATTGCATGGATAACTTTCACAGGCCAAATATTGAGTATATAAAATATAGGCAGATATTAAAGTGAGCACACCACATTAATTTTAGCTGCATGAAATTCAGAAATAAGAGAATTACCCTATGGTGATAGAAGTGGAAATAGATACTATCTTTTGGTAGAGATTATTGATTAGGAGGGATCACAAAAGATCTTTCTGGGGCACTAGAAATCTACTATATCTCAAGCTGAATTATGGTTACTTGAATGTATACACTGGGAAAAAGTCAAAGCTGCACATTTAATATTCCTATACTTTGCTGTAAGTAAATTATAAATTTAAAAATAAAAACAAAAAAGAAAAAGTATTATATTCCTCAATGTCCAGGTTAACTAACAGTTACCTCCAGCTCACGAACCATAAGCAAGTTTAGTGAGCAATTAACACAGCCTATTCTTGAAATTGGCTAGACTGAGGTTACAGCCTACTATCAAAACAATGATCAAGATGCATGTTAAAAAGTTAGCAATTATGTATTATCATTTCATGTGTGTAGGTGACAACTCAAAAGTATTTAAAAAGCAAACTCAGATATCCATAAAAATCATATTTCAATAAAAGATTTTTAAAAAGCAAAGTGTTTATTTCTCTATATATAATATAGTAACAGATATTCTCTCATTTTACCAGACAAGAGAATGCTAAAGACAGCTGGACTTAAGCTATCATTCAAATTTATACCTGTGTAGACAGCCTTAATACCCCAATTCCCCAGCATTATTAACGGTCTCATTCTGTGTGGATCTCATCATTAGCCAAATCATAATTTGAATGTGGTCACTGGTGGGAACATCATCATTTAAACATCTCTAAAGTAGGATCTACTCACATTTATGATGATGTTCAGAGATTCATCATTAGGAAGGAAAATACACACGCTCCGGCGGTCTTGCATGACTCTGTTGTTATGGAAGTTCAATTTGTTCATTGTGTTGTGGGCTCTCTAGTGGTCAGGGCTGGGCTCCGAGTCCTCGGCAATGTTTCTGGTTCCGAGCACTCCAAGGCCAAACTCTGCTCCTCATCACACTCCCTACAGGAGAAACATCGTGATATGCGACTACGTGGGTTTCATAGCTGTAAAAAAAAGAAAGTCCAAAAGGAAGGAGGTTGTGAATGAAGACGGCAAGACTGGTGAATGGACAGGTGGGGAGAGGAGCCGCAGCAGGACAGGGCACAGCACGTCTCACAGTGAGGCCCGCCTCGTCTAATCACTGAGAACGCATGAGCTTGTACTCTGTACTTTGCCCGCTACCAAGTGTTTTAAAACTTACATTCACAGTCATGAATTTAACATAAAGCCAACGAGTGTCTCTACATTCAAGGTGGTACTGTGTACTGCAGGGCTTTCAAAAGCAGAGCCTGCCTTTGAAAAGTTTCTAGTCTCATACGGAAGGGTCCTGGAATAAACGAACAAAATGACAAAGCAGCAATAACAACACAATTCTCAACCCCTCTCCTATTTTTCTTCCATTACAATCAAACTCAAATAAATGTCTTGGATCTTACATTATATTCCTTCTTCAACCACTGTGGTCTGGCTTCCATTTCCTTCTTCTAACCAGCATGACTTTACCACAGGAAGCCAGTGATCTCAAGACCATGAGGAGAAACCATAGCATTCACTCTGATTGACCTCAGTATGTACAACACTTACTGAGGCTGTTAAGTCCTCCTTACAACCTTTTTCTTCGAGTTTCTACAATGCTGCCCTCTCTTCTCATTCTCTAACCTGGAGATGCAAACTTTATTTTTCTGTTATTTCACCAACCAGTTAACACACAGAAATAACATGATTGTATATAATAAATATTTGTATTTATTTTATATGGTGGATTTTGGATACTTCTCGTATCTAACCGGTTTATTAAACCATGTCATTTTACTTTTTAAATACTCTCAGATATTCAGTGTAAACAATATTGCTTGCAAGTTATAAAGACTTTATCACCAATTTTCAATAACCACACTTTTTATTTCTGTCTCATGTCTCACTGCATTGGCAAGACTTTAAGAATAATTTTAAAACACTGGTGGATATTTTCTACTTTTAATGAATGTGTCCAGTGTTTCATATATTATTCCTAATACAACACTATTCAACTAAGGTATGTTAAGACAACCTGCCTGTCAAACAATAGTGATCATTTATATTGTTCCTTTACAGCTACATTTGTAGGATATGTAGGAATTTCCAGGAATATGGATTAGTTTTATCTAGCAGAAAGCATGACCATATAGTTTTAATAGAAGAGCTATTATCACTGCTCATATAAATCAAAGCATAAATGAGGCAGAATCTTGGCTTATTTGTTTAAGGTGCAATGTCCATCTGTTATCAGCAGGAAGACAGGAGAGAATATACTCTTAGATGGCACCATAAGTAAATGTAAACTAGTATTTCTTTTTAAAGTATAAATAAAACACCATCCACCAGGGAGTTACTCAAAGCTAAGTAAAAACATGTACAGTATTTCCTTAGGAAGGAGACCAAAAGCCCTATAGGAGTATTCTACATTTCTTAAAGTATAATGGCAATTGTTTCACATTAGGCTGTAGCCAGTATATCACCCTACAAGGGTCACCAGAGGAAAGTGCTACAGTTCTCTCCAGTATGGGATGGCTAGAATGGTTGGCCTATGTGTTCTATGAACACAAACTAACTGCACTTCAAATCCAACCATTCAGCTGTAGAATGCACACTTTATTTATTTATTTTACTATTTTTTTTCATTTATTTTTATTAGTTGGACGCTAATTACTTCACAACATTTCAGTGGGTTTTGTTATACATTGACATGAATCAGCCATGGAGTTACATGTATTCCCCATCCCGATCCCCCCTCCCACCTCCCTCTCCACCCGATTCCTCTGGGTCTTCCCAGTGCACCAGGCCCGAGCACTTGTCTCATGCATCCAACCTGGGCTGGTGATCTGTTTCACTATAGATAATATACATGCTGTTCTTTTGAAACATTCCACCCTCACCTTCTCCCACAGAGTCCAAAAGTCTGTTCTGTACATCTGTGTCTCTTTTTCTGTTTTGCATATAGGGTTATCGTTACCATCTTTCTAAATTCCATATATATGTGTTAGTATGCTGTAATGTTCTTTATCTTTCTGGCTTACTTCACTCTGTATAATGGGCTCCAGTTTCATCCATCTCATTAGAACTGATTCAAATGAATTCTTTTTAACGGCTGAGTAATATTCCATGGTATATATGTACCACAGCTTCCTTATCCATTTATCTGCTGATGGGCATCTAGGTTGCTTCCATGTCCTGGCTATTATAAACAGTGCTGCGATGAACACTGGGGTGCATGTGTCTCTTTCAGATCTGGTTTCCTCAGTGTGTATGCCCAGAAGTGGGATTGCTGGGTCATATGGCAGTTCTATTTCCAGCTTTTTAAGAAATCTCCACACTGTTTTCCATAGCGGCTGTACTAGTTTGCATTCCCACCAACAGTGTAAGAGGGTTCCCTTTTCTCCACACCCTCTCCAGCATTTATTGCTTGTAGACTTTTGGATAGCAGCCATCCTGACTGGCGTGTAATGGTACCTCACTGTGGTTTTGATTTGCATTTCTCTGAGAATGAGTGATGTTGAGCATCTTTTCATGTGTTTGTTAGCCATCTGTATGTCTTCCTTGGAGAAATGTCTGTTTAGTTCTTTGGCCCATTTTTTTATTGGGTCATTTATTTTTCTGGAATTGAGCTGCAGGAGTTGCTTGTATATTTTTGAGATTAGTCCTTTGTCTGTTGCTTCATTTGCTATTACTTTCTCCCAATCTGAGGGCTGTCTTTTCACCTTGCTTATAGTTTCCTTTGTTGTGCAAAAGCTTTTAAGTTTCATTAGGTCCCATTTATTTATTTTTGCTTTTATTTCCAATATTCTGGGAGGTGGGTCATAGAGGATCCTGCTGTGATTTATGTCGGAGAGTGTTTTGCCTATGTTCTCCTCTAGGAGTTTTATAGTTTCTGGTCTTACATTTAGATCTTTAATCCATTTTGAATTTATTTTTGTGTATGGTGTTAGAAAGTGTTCTAGTTTCATTCTTTTACAGGTGGTTGACCAGTTTTCCCAGCACCACTTGTTAAAGAGGTTGTCTTTTTTCCATTGTATATCCTTGCCTCCTCTGTCGAAGATAAGGTGTCCATAGGTTCGTGGATTTATCTCTGGGCTTTCTATTCTGTTCCATTGATCTATATTTCTGTCTTTGTGCCAGTCCCATACTGTCTTGATGACTGTGGCTTTGTAGTAGAGCCTGAAGTCAGGCAGGTTGATTCCTTCAGTTCCATTCTTCTTTCTCAAGATTACTTTAGCTTTTCGAGGTTTTTTGTATTTCCATACAAATTGTGCAATTATTTGTTCTAGTTCTTTGAAAAATACTGTTGGTAGCTTGATAGGGATTGCATTGAATCTATAGATTGCTTTGGGTAGAATAGCCATTTTGACAATATTGATTCACACGGTATGTTTCTCCATCTGTTTGTGTCCTCTTTGATTTCTTTCATCAGTGTTTTATAGTTTTCTATGTATAGGTCTTTTGTTTCTTTAGGTAGATATACTCCTAAGTATTTTATTCTTTTTGTTGCAATGGTGAATGGTATTGTTTCCTTAATTTCTCTTTCTGTTTTTTTCATTGTTAGTGTATAGGAATGCAAGGGATTTCTGTGTGTTAATTGTATATCTTGCCACTTTACTACATTCATTGATTAGCTCTAGTAATTTTCTGGTAGAGTCTTTAGGGTTTTCTATGTAGAGGATCATGTCATCTGCAAACAGCGTGAGTTTCACTTCTTCTTTTCCTATCTGGATTCCTTTTACTTCTTTTTCTGCTCTGATTGCTGTGGCCAAAACTTCCAACACTATGTTGAATAGTAGTGGTGAGAGTGGGCACCCTTGTCTTGTTCCTAATTTCAGGGGAAATGCTTTCAATTTTTCACCATTGAGGGTGATGCTTGCTGTGGGTTTGTCATATATAGCTTTTATTATGTTGAGGTATGTTCCTTCTATTCCTGCTTTATGGAGAGTTTTAATCATAAATGAGTGTTAAATTTTGTCAAAGGCTTTCTCTGCATCTATTGAGATAATCATATGGTTTTTGTCTTTCAATTTGTTAATGTGGTGTATTACATTGATTGATTTTCAGATATTAAAGAATCCTTGCATAGAATGCACACTTTAAACAATTCCAAAGCAAAGAAAGCCATAAGTGAACCATGCAAAGAAACAGAGGAAAATAATAGAATGGGAAAGACTAGAGATCTCCTCAAGAAAATTAGAGATGGGGAAACAATGGAAACAGTGAGAGACTTTAATTCTTTTTGGACTCCAAAATCACTGCAGACAGTGACTGAAGCCATGAAATTAAAAGATGCTTGCTCCTTGGAAGAAAAGTTATGGCCAATTTAAATGGCATACTAAAAAGCAGAGACATTACTTTGTTGACAAAGGTCCATCTAGTCAAAGCTATGGTTTTTCCAGTAGTCATGTATGGATGTGAGAGCTGGACTATAAAGAAAGCTGAGCGCTGAAGAATTTATGCTTTTGAACTGTGGTTGGAGAAGATTCTTGAGAGTCCTTGGACTGCAAGGAGATCAAATCAGTCAATCCTAAAGGAAATCAGTCCTAAAATCAGTTCTTTCATTGGAAGAACTGATGCTGAAGCTGAAACTCCAATACTTTGGCCACCTGATGTGAAGAACTGACTCATTTGAAAAGACCCTGATGCTGGAAAACACTGAAGGCAGGAAGGAAGGGGATGACAGAGGACGAGATGGTTGGATGGCATCAGGACTTGATACACATGAGTTTGAATAAGCTCCAGGAGTTGATGATGGACAGGGAAGCCTGGCATGCTGCAGCCCATGGGGTTGCGAAGAGTTGGACACGACTGAGCGACTGAACTGAGAATGGTATTCTTAG